TAATCGATCATAATGAAATATGTGGTGAGTATGATAGCGGTTCCACTTGAACCGCTCTTAAAAGTTAACATATAATAGCGGTTCCACGTGGAACCGCTATTATATGTTATATTATAGAAATGAAAAAACTAGTATATATAAATATATATGTATATATAATATTATAATATTTTATTTAAAATTTAAAATTTAAAAAATATTTTTATATTTTTAAAATTAATAATATATTTAGATTTATGATTGAACGTAGTAAAATAATATTTTTAAAATATATTATTAAATATTATATTTATATTATTTGTATGGTTAATTTTTAATTTATTTATTTATTTGATATTGTAATATATTTTTAAGAAATTAATAATAAATTAGGAGGATAATAAAATTCTTTAAAATTATATGTATATAATATGAAATAATATTTTGATGTAAAATTATATTTTTGAAATGTATTTTCTTTCTTATGTTTTTGTAATATTTTGAATGATATAATATTAAAATTGACTTTATAAAAAAATTAGGAAAAAAACAATTAATTCAAAAATATAATAATGATAAAAATATTATAAAAAATAGTTCAAAAATATATTATAATATTTTCAGTTTTAGTTTAATTATATTTTTAATTCTCAAAGTAGAAAAATATATTGTAATTATTTTAATTTAATAAAATATAATTTAAATTTTTAATACTAAAATTAAGAGATTAAATAAAATAAATTTAATTCTTTAAATTTAGTATTTAGAAACTAAAATTATAGTTTCTTTATTTTAAAAAAGTAAAATAAATATTTAAAAATAAAAATAAAAACTAGTATTATCTTAAATTTATTAAAAGTATAATTAAATCTCCATTTTCTTATCCCATTTTATATTTTTTTTAATAAAAATCCAATATATAAAAAAGTTGAAATTTTAAAAAGACACAAGTACATTAACTATTTTTTTGAATATTATGTTTTTAAATTTGCTAATAGAAAAAGCGTTTCAGAATTCAAAATGTTAAATACTTTTAAATATTAAAATTGACTTTATAAAAAATTAGGGAAAAAAAATTCCAAAAGAGTTCAAAAATGTATTATAATATTTTCAGTTTTAGTTTAATTATATTTTTAATTCTCAAAGTAGAAAAATATATTGTAATTATTTTAATTTAATAAAATATAATTTAAATTTTTAATACTAAAATTAAAAGATTAAATAATAATAAATTTAATTCTTTAAATTTAGTATTTAGAAAGTAAAATTATAGTTTCTCTGTTTTAAAAAATTAAAATAAATATTTAAAAATAAAAATAAAAACTAGTATTATCTTAAATTTATTAAAAGTATAATTAAATCTCTATTTTCTTATGTAATTTTAGAAAATTTTTAATGAAAATCCAATATATAAAAAAGTTGAAATTTTTAAAAGGCACAACCTTAACTTATATTAACTGTTTTTTTTTTTTAAAAAGCTGATAAGAAAAACTTGGCTTTGAAAAAAAAAGTTAATAATTTTGAAGTTATTTAAGTGATGAAGTTTCCGAATGTGATCTATGAATTTATTGAGTAAAATTGGAGGTAGGTTGAATATAAATTTAAATATATTTTTAATTTATTTAAATATGGTTTATTTTTAGTATTTATAAAATAGATTAGTTTTAAATTTTTAACTTTTCTAGCCGTCTATTTTTAATCTTTGTTATTAATTATGTTAAAAATAAAAAAATATTAATTAGTATACTTAAACTAATGTATATTGATATAATTTTTTTGTATATCAATTATATGAAAATAACCATGGTTAAGTAATTAATAATAATAAAGCAATAAATTTAAAAATTAGATTAAAAATAAAGTTTTATAAAATAAAATTGTAATAATTTGATTAATTTTTTTAATTAATTAAATTAATGAGGAATTAAAATGTGATAATTTGATGTGTTTAATTTTTTTAATATAAATTTTTAAAATATAATTTAATTTCAATTGAAATTTTCAATTGAAAAATAAATTAAAGAATATTTATTATTAAACTTTTCTTAAACAATGTATTGAATAGCTAATATTACTCTAGTCTTAATTTATTACAATTTAAATTTTTAATAAATTTGATTTATTTTTAATAATATTTTTATTTAGTAATTTAAAATTAAAGTTAATCTTCATTTTGTTAATATTGAGACCAAAGTTTACTTTTAAAGTATATTTTAAAAATTAAATTATTTTTAAAAAATAAATTATTTTAAAAAATAAATTGTAAAAAATATACTAAAACAATTAAAGTATATTTATAAAAAAATAAATTTAAATATAATAAAAAAATAATCTTCATTAGCGACCGATTTCAATTCGGTCACTATTTCAATTTGTAATTCGGTCGCTAAATCGGTCGTTAAATGATTTTTTTATTTTAGTGTGGAATAGCCACCGATTTAGCGATCGAAATTTTGCGACGCAAACTATTCACTAGATACAAATCACTTTTAACATCGAGCTTTCCACATCGGTTCTTTAAGAACCGATGTAGAAAGTGAATTCAAGACTTTCAACATCGGTTCCCAGATGAACCGATGTAGAAAGTCTTTTTATAAAATTAAGAAAATTGTTACTGACAGGATTCGAACTCAGTACCTTGAAGTTAAAGGCTGATACTCCAACCACTAAGCTACCAAGATTTTCTGATAATAACTTATACATAAATTATATTTATATACAAATAAAAATGTATATCCATGTAAATATATAAATATAAAATATATAAATACAAATACAAATATATTTATATATTTATATGTTGGATGTGAGAGCGCGCTCGAGAATAAAAGTGTGTGTCAAGTGGGTTTTCAAAATTTGATGTCAAATTTGTGAGCAAGTTTCTTTATATGAATTTGTAATTTAATGATAGAATATAATCTTTATAATTTATTTATAATAATATAGAATATAATCTTTATAATTAATTTATATAATGATATAAAATAAAGAAAAAAATTATTTTATATCATTATATAAATAAATTATAAAGATTATATTTTGTCATTAAGTTATAATCCATATAAAGAGACCCGCTCACAAATTTGACATCAAATTTTAAAAATTCACTCGACACACACTTTCATCCTCGAGCGCGTCCTCACATCCAACATATAAATATATAAATATATTTGTATTTGTATTTATATATTTTATATTTATATATTTACATGGATATACATTTTTATTTGTATATAAATATAATTTATGTATAAGTTATTATCGAAAAATCCTGGTAGCTTAGTGGTTGGAGATATCGACTCTCCGACTCTAAGGTACTGCGGGTTCGAATCTTGCCGAGTGACAATTCTCTTATAATATAAAAGGGTTATAAAAGGGAGAGGATAGTCTAGGAAACTCTAGATCAATAGATAGAGTAATTAGAGATGTGTTATGAATAAATAAAATAAAAAAATATTAGACTTTCTACATCGGTTCTAGAACCGATGTTAAAAGTCCCTGGGAACCGATGTTAAAAGCCTATTTTGTACTAGTGATTGGTCGCTATTTCGGTCGCTAACTAAAAAATGTGAAGCCAAATTATATTTCGGTCGCTAAATCGGTCGCTAATTACGACCGAATTAAATCGGTCACTAATTGCGACCGAAAAAATTCGGTCGCTAAATGTGTTTTTTCTTGTAGTGTTGCATTCTATACCTCAGATCTCCTCATCCATAACAGATTGCTACTTCTCATCACGTACTATCTCTTAAAAATTTCATCTCCTTGGAATCTGCCAAAAGACAAACAACATGTACCTCATATGTCCAGTTGTACAAGTTTTGTAAATTACACATTCTTGGTTGTGATTCCCCCTCCTTCTCCGTTTCCAAACTTGATATAATTGGTGGTATAGTAATTGTTAATCCTCGACTTTCAATAGCATCCTTCAATGAGTCACCCCAATTTCACTCACTTGCTTCATCAACTAGGACATCGCGAACCATCACCACTTTCTTGCTTATCGGGTCTAGTAGCTTAGTGTTCTATGTTATTCGCTCAGCGATTTTACAAGGAGGCCTAACATAAGTTTTGTCGTATAGCAGATTAGTCAGTTCAAGACGAAACCAAGAAACTCTCACTTACAAACTACCTTTCAGATTCTCAAATATCTAAAAAATGTCCTGGACAAAGTCTCTTTTATCCGGTTCAGAATTCTAGCAGAATTTAGGCGTTTTTAGATTTAGACTTGGCAAATTGCAACACCACTAGAAGGTCAATTACATGGTATTACATTTTTATAGAAATTGCTTAATATCCTGGAAGTCTAATCAGCAGAATACAGCTTCTCGCAATGTACAAAATATGGGACCCTAGCCATTGTGGCTTGTGAATTGCAGAGACTGAAATAACAAAAATGAATTAAAATATATATTTGATTATTTGATCCTTAATTTTATTATTGTTTACGTTCACTTCAAAGTTATCTTCCTTTTGACCAAACTATATATAATACATTCTAAAAAAAGTAATGCCACACGGAATAATATTTTATTATTAAAACCTCATTTTTTTAATTATATTTTAATATATATATATATAATTAATTATAAAGAAAAGAAAGATATTAATGCAGTATTTCCAAGTATATATATTTATTTGTAACAGCTATCCTCTAATTTCAAATATTAAAACATTCTTCACTCATCATGTGAGGAAACACTTGAAGATCATAGAAAACCATCAAATTCTCTAATGAATTACATCATCAAGCCTAGTCTTCAAAGATAATATATCCAAGTAAACTAAATTGATAAATGAAGGGATAAGGTCTTTATTTGCTCAATGGAAAAGATATATAAATTACATGGTACAACTCAATTAGGTTTTACAGCAAAACATAGTAAAACCAGCAAAGTTCAACATATACGTGTTCATATATTCAAGAAATAGAAAAACTGTGAGAATAATGACAACTATAAAACCTCTATACATTCATACAACATACATATAACATATCTACCAAAGTTCCTCACTCCAACCTAAGAAAAGAAGGGTGGAATATATGTTTCTGTACAATCAAACACTGAGGAAGGATCAATGGCAAACTGAACCACAGATCTTAGGTCATCCCAATTCTCATTGGCAAATGCATAGTCCTCAACATTCTGGTTCAAAAAACTTGGGTAAGGGGTTGATGGGGGTTGAAGATGGGGTAGTTGGCCAAACTGGCCTAGAAAGAAGTGTTTCTTTTCGTCAACCTGTCCAAATACTGGTTTTCTTTCTAGCTGCTGCATCATCACAGGGTCTCTGCAGATGAAATATGGCTTGCAAATGTCAGAATCTGAGGTGCTTGTGTTGGAATTCACAGGGTTGGGTTTGGTGAGGGGTGTTGAGTCTTTCAAATTTGGAGTGTACTTTTTGAATGATGGGGTGCGTTTGAATATCCTGCAGAGTGTCCACACCTCCTGCAAACACATAAATGACATAGAGACAAGAACATTTTAGGGTTATTATTATATTCATGTATATTTAATTTCATTCAACATTTATTTTCATCACATTCTCTTCTCTCACATCTTTTCTCTATCACTTCTTTCCACTTCTGTAATCTCAAAATGAAGAAATTTAAACAAATTTATCACTTATAGTCTTGTAGATTTATGGTTCTGGTCAATATTTATGTTTCACATAGAAAAGAAAAATATTTTAAAAACAATAAATTGCAATTTCTTTTATTTAGCTTGTAAGATTCGTTTGTTGTTATCAATTCACTAAATTTTCGACTTTAATAACATATCTATGAATTTTTTTTTATATCACAATAATTACGTGTATATATATAAATTAATTGAAAATTAAATAAAAAGTAAACATATTATTGATAAAAGAAGTAATTAATATCTTAAACTTTAAAAATAACAGTTAAATATTAATGTTTAACATTTTTTAAATACATTAATGGTTGTCTGTAGAGAGGGATAAATGGGTATAAGTATGTTCCTCTGAATTCCGTTGTGGTATCAAAATTTTGTGTATTATTGTCTCATTCTAACCATTTATACATTTTGATTTGACCATTTTTTTAATGATAGAACTCTGGATTTTTAATATGTTTTTTATTCATTAATGTCACTTATGATGTAAATTTTTTTAATATTTTTACTCTTAACTAACTTATTAGTTCCACAATATATTATATTTTTGAATCTATATCTTTCTTTCTCTTTTATTAAATGTTTTTTAGAAGAAGAAAAAAAGTTCTTGAGTTTTCTTTACAAAAACTATTCCAGTAATAAACTAGTTTTTTTAATTAAAATTAAATTCTTATTCTAAGAATCTATTCTAAAAGATGGGTGTAGGTTTCTGGTTTTAAAAAATAGACACAAATTGTTAATGTGAAACAAGAGAATATATATATATATATATTAATAATAAAGTGGAGATTACATGTGTTTTGTAAATCATGAAAGCGACGTTTACCCAAAATTTCAGTGTTCAACGGAGTTGACTTGGCCGTTTCCATACATACACACATCTATCTATCTATCTATATATATTATTTGTTATATTTTACATTCAAATTAATTAATTGTATTTATATGTTATATTATATTATATTATATTATATATATATATATATATATATATATAATATAACAAATAAATGTAATTAATTAATTTGACGAGTAGAACCACAAGAGACTATTCGGGAACCCACTACCACACAAATTCTGAAAAAGGAGACCAATATAAAAAATTATAATTATAAAATCAAGGGTTTAATGTAAAACTTTTAAAATCTAAAATAAATTTTTGAAAATAAAATGAAGCACCTAAGCAAGTTCGAATTTAGTTTTATATAAATTATGCAAGAACATAATTTCAAGATGCTTTAATAAAAATTAATCAAGTAAATGTTATTTACTTAAATGTAATAAAAAGGAGAATGAAAACTAAATACACGTTAGAAAAAGCTATCCTTTTAGTTTCTACTCTATGAAACCTAATTGAAGGAAAAAACAATTTAAAAAAGTTGAATCAAAGAATATCTTAGTATAACTTAATATATAAGTTAAGTTAAACCTATTTCACATTGGCTCATAGACCCTTAACATCATCTAATTTATCTCCATATCCAACCTAATATATTTTGAGACAATGAAAATAAATTTTTGAACGTAATATCTTTGACTAACCTATTATTGTAATCTTCTACAAAACCAAACTAGTTAGTAATTAACTTAAGTGGTCCTCATCACACTCAACTTATAGGTCACACATTTATTTTTAACTGACCATTCAAATTATAAACAGTAACATTTTACACACAATACACCAACAATAAAAGCTTTATATGAACTATATATAAAAGTAAAAAACAATTATGTAGAGAACGAGAGAATACATGTGAAAAAAAAAATCCTTTGGAAAATTAATAATGAATATGAAATAAATTTAGTGACATCCAGAGTTTTTCTTATCCACGAAAAAAAAATTAATATGATTCATCTATTAATTTCAATATTAAGATTTTATTCAATTGGATGTTATTATAGTGGAGTTAACATGAACTATAATGATATATATATAGAAAATATCACACTTTAACTTCATTCACACGTTATCCTAAATTTTAGGAAAAAGAAAAAAAAAATGAAGAAAACTACAAACTTTTGCTATTTGACCACCGATGTGGAGGTCAATTGTTTCCATCTACATGTGTGTACAACATGGATCCAATAATTTCCAAGAAAGACCAAAGTCAAATCTTCTTGCAAATAAATAAATAAAATATTAATACACTGTGGCTTTGGTGCATTTGTTTTTTATTTTTCCCTCATAAACTGGGCCCTCTCTTAAACTTGTAGTTGTAAGCTTTTAATGACTTGAATATGGACAAATCTCCGACCACAAATTTCAGCACTTTTAATATGTTCTTCGCTATATATGGTTCTAGACGATGTGTCGTCTTTCAAGATTTTGAATAAAAAAAAAAGTAAAATAAGAAAAAGAAGAAGTGACTTTTATTAATATAATATTATTGTATATACAATTATAAGTTTTTTATCACTTAGAAATTAAAATTAATAATTATATATATATATATATATATATAATTATCTATATTTATATATAAATGAATTCGTTTTGTAATCACTTTTTTATATCATCAAAAAGAAAAAAATATAAAAAAAATAATTTAAAAAAATAATATTATGATTTATATATTTAAAAAGGAAATATATATATATATATATAATAAAAATAAAATAAAATTTAAAATAATATTTTGAAAGAAATTAATGATAAAAATATGGACTTTTTTTAGCATTTGTGGTGTTATCATAATAAATTTAAAATTGAAAGATTTATATATATATATATATATATATATATATATATATATATATATATATATTAATTTTATCTTTAATTTTTATAAAATGGAATGATGTTTCAGTAAAAATGAAACGAAAAGAACAATGATGGTAAAAATATATGAAGCCTAAAGTGAAGAAGAAGTATGCAATGAGGTATGTGTATGTGTAAAGATGTTGACTTACAGCTTCATGAAGATCATTATTGGTAGCATTAGCAATGTTGGTGGAGGATTTTGAATTGGGTGGAAGACGAAACTCATGCATCATCCAGTCAGTTTTGGTGCCTTTTCCAGCGCTTCCACGGTAATAAACCAATGACTTCTTCAGACCAATGCATTCATGGGGTTCCTTCACGCAGTATATGGACTTGTCTATTCCTGTGGCTTTCCAGAACCCTGACCTGGTTACCCTGTTTGGTCTCACGCTGTTCCTGTACTTCCTCCCTCTTATGCAGAAAAAATACCATTCTTTGTCCCCAAATGAATTCACCTCTTCACAGAAATAAATTTCTCATTAACCAATTAAGAACAATATCTATTTATTTACCATGAAAATTCTCAGTAGGGCTATTTAATCACATACTATGTATATATCATAATTTTTTTAAAAGGTTTTATTTCTAACATAACATGAGAACTTTCCAAAACATCAAAATATATAGCAGCAGAACCTTATGAACTAGCTGAGTGCAGTTTTCCTTGTTATTATTGAAGTGATAACTAGGATTGGATACAGGATAGGTACATGTTTGGGAATAGCTTATATTTGGATCAAACAACAATTCAAGAAATTTCATTCAACATCAATTTTTCTTCCTCAAATAACACTCAACTCGTTAATATTTGAATCAGTCATATAGGCAAACCTTTCATAAATATTAAACCCAGGGACTAACTGATATCTAATTTAATCATATAAAATCAGATTAGTTTTTATATACTGTACTGTTATCGTACATTTTGTAGAGTGAATCATCTTAGGAGGATTTTTCTTTACATCATTTGTCATAAGAGATTTTTTTCATCACACTTCTTTACTTCGAAAGAGATTATTTAATCACATCCCATCATTTTTGGAAGGATTTTTTTATCGCACCTTTTACCTAGGTAGATTTTTCATGTTTCAGAAACACTAAAATTAATTGATAGAAATGATCATATACTCACTTTGTTTTTCTACTAAAAATTAGTCACTTACAAACTTGTAGGGGAAGCAGATCTTACTTGGAAGATCCCATGGATCATATTTGTAGATATCAACCTGTTTGATGAGTTCAATTTTCAGAGGCTTCTTTTCCACTTTTCTCTGCAGATAAAACCCAACAAGTTCTTCATCTGTGGGGTGGAATCTAAAGCCAGGAAGCACAACTTCTTCACCCTTCTTGGTATCATCAGAGCCTTGTACCTTAGAATTCATTTTTCTCTTCTCAAATATTGGTAATATTTGTTTCTTTCCAAGCACACGCCAAAGCACTTCTCATAAAACTGAAGGGAAGATTCTAAGGTTGCACACTATTCTCCTCTTCACCACATATTTATATACACTTTTGAGATACACCTTGTTTCTCTGTTGGTGTTGAAGATTGGGAAGGGGAGTCAAGTCAAACATTTCGATTATGAGATCATTATGCACCCCTAAAGAGAAAGGAAGGGGTCCCAATGCTGACAAGTTTATGAACCACACTACAAGACATGGTGATTTTTCTAGGGTGAGGGTGATGCATGTGCATGGGGTGGTCCTCACTATGCATGTACCATCATGGTTAATTAACCATATTGATGGTGAAAAGGCAGTGACATGAGAATTTGTGAAACCGAGAGAGGTTCATCACCAGACCATATTGGAAAGTCAACAAGAGGGGGGCACCATTTTGACTATTGGACATATGAATGGAATAAATATATGCAAAACAACACTGTCTATTGAGGGGAAAAGTCAAATGACAATTTCAAACACATCAATACTGTTGTAGAAAAAATTCCTTTGGCAAAAAAATATTAAAAATATGGAAAAATTGACAAAACATTTATTAATAGGATTCATAAATTTTTCAACCAAATTCAATGTCTCTCTCATAGAGACTATGCTGTCATAATCAATACCGAAATCAATGTTAATTTCTAGTACTTATTTAATTAGTAAAAATTATTTAAGAGTAAAAATAAATATTTTATTATAAATTTTATATATAAATTTTTCAAATTGGAAAAAATTATTTAAAATTTTAAAAAAGTTTTTTATATAAATAATTTTGACTAATTTTTAAGTGATTTATGTATAAAATTACCGATCTACCCTACTAATTTTAAAATAGACTGAGAGAATCACCATACCTATCATCAACTTTATAAATGTCTCAGGTTCATATCATTGTGATCACCCTAATTTAAAGTTTCTTACACATATTAATAGTATTCTATTAAATATACATATTCTTTTAATAAATGTATTATTTTTATATATTGCAAATGCAAGCATTGTATTGATAAATAAAGGTAAATTAGGGGGAAAAATCTTCATAAAAACTTGAGAATATTATTTAATTTGAATTTAAAAAACAACTATAAATTTGCTGTTATTTTAAAATAGAATATTTGGTATTGTTTGATGGTTTCTTGAATGATCGAGATATCCATTGTTGCATGCATGCAATTTCGTTAGGTCTGTGTGGTAGGTAGATTGAAGAAACGATGAAGAAATAGAGTAGAGATAGAAAAAAGAAAAAAAGTGGAGTATGTTTATTTGTAGGAAATAAGGAAGGATAAAATATATTAAAGAAAAAGTGTATACCTTTTTAGTTTTGAACCACTAAAAAATATTCTCAGAAAATAAAATTAATTATTAATAAAAAAATTATTCTTTTGCATACTTCGTTTTTTTTTTTCATTTATTCTCTAATTATTTTAAACCAAATATTCATATATATTTAAAATTTATTGTTTATTTATTTTCATTCATTTTATTTCTCCTTTTCTTAATTTCATTTATTCTATTTAGTTATCATTTGCTTATTTTCTTTCTATCAAATACATCTTAAGTTATTTTAGTTTACGGTAATAATAATATTTAAAATAAGAGTTACCAAAAGAAAGACATAAAGAGAGTTCAATTAGGGTACAAGTATAATATTTTATTCATATTCTTTTATACAAAGGAATTAGTTCAATATTAAAATTGTCTCATAATGAGAGACATCCTTAGAAAAAAAAATTCTCTTAAATAATCAAACACTATATGAGTTATAATTAATACATGTAGAAATAATGTATATTATCTTTATTCCAAAAAATTGAAACACTGACTTCACCATGAATCATGAGAGAAACTATGAATGGTTTAACATAAAACCAAACACTTGAAATGAGAACTAGAAAGGATAAACTTTCCATTATTGCAACCATTAATGGAAGAGAAATAATTCAAATTAGATCAATTGTTTCAACAAAAATATGAAAACTGAAAAGCATATTTTCGAAATTGCCAAGAGTTGTGAGTTGAATTTCGTATTGGATACATTAATTCCATATCCATCGTCTTTTTCAAATTCTACCCTAATTAATTATCATTTTTGAACATTTTTCAAGCATTTATTTTGAGGATAAGGAGCAAAAATTATTTGACTTTGCTTTATTGTAAATGTGCACGAAATTCAATGGTATATAGCATATACATATGTCATTAAGGGTGATTTAATCTATTATATTAAATGCATGATTTCTTTAATATAATGGTCATCATGGAATTTTTAAAAGTAAAAATTATGGGAAAACTTTTTACCTCTCAAGTATTACTAGATCAGAAGTTAATTTATTGAGATTAGCATATTAAAATAGTTTTTTTTTTTCATACATATGAATCAAGGGTTGAATCACGTACTTAAGAAATAAGGAAAAAATTGAGTCCCAATAATTCTTATTCCCTCGATTTTAAATAAGTGTCAAAAGAAAAAAATTATTTGATTTATTTAATTTTTATAAATTTTAAATTATTATTAAAAAAAACTATTTAATCGGACAAAACCAATAAAACTCACTTATATATATATATATATATATATATATATATATATATATAATATTTTTTTAATTTTGTAAATTGTAACTTACATCTAAGTATATTAATATATTAAATGAGTGAATTATAACTTCTATTAACCAATAATTTTAAAAATATTAAATTTTATGATAAAAATACAATAAATCTAATTAAAAAATAGATAAATAAAATTATAAACTTATAATGATCTTATGTCATATTATGAAAATATATTTCTGATATGTTTATAAATTGATAGTTTTTTTATTTTTAGTATTTTGAGTGATATTTTTATTCCAACTTGTGTAAAAATATTGCAAATAAATGCTAAAGAGATTAAATTATAACATTGATAGGGCTCTTATTTCAACCTAGTTGGATATCATTTTTATAATGATGCTTGAAACATAAGTTTATAAAAAAAAAAATTTAGGATATATATAAAATAAAATATTAATTTGTTTTTTAAATACAAAAGCTTTCCATGATTTAAAGGTGTGTCTCTCGAATTCAGTGATGTTTAGATTTGGTGGAGATCCGATCTTGGACATGATTTAATTTTTGTAATTTCGATATATTAATTTTGTAATTTATCTAATTTTATATCTCCTTACGAATTAAAGTATTTATTTCTTTAACAAGCGATTTTAATAAGAGAAAAAAAATCGGTTACAAACAGTTAGATCATTCTTTCATGTTTTTAAAAATAGTTTTTAATTTTTGTAAAATAATTTTTTTATAAGTAAATATGTGAAAATAATTTTCAAGATCTTTTATTTTAACTAAAAATAATAAAAAGTTATACGATAAGTTTTCTATTTATATATTTTTTATTTAGTTTATTTACAATTTCAATGGAGAATGCGTTGAATGATTCTCTTATTAGATACATGATCGAATATTAATATTATGAGCACCTCTTCATTAAATTGTTTCTACGTAAATTGTACGTTTTAAATAATATCGTAAAGATATTTTAAAATAGACTCAAAACAACTTATAAATATATGATAAAGTATCTCTGTTGTGCTAAGTTATAAATTTAAACAAATTATATGTATTTGAAAAAGTCTAAAGAACATAGATGTGCTTTAAATATAATCTTTGATACAAAAGTTACAATATGATGCACCCTCATGGAATAATAGACGCATCCAATCAAATCAACAATATAATAAATTATTTCAAACAAAGTGTATCAGACATGTCTGATTAGACACATTGAGTGTTATAGAGAAAAAAGTAAATATTAATTTCTAATTTTTTTAATTACAGAGAAAAAAGGTAAATATTAATTTCTAATTTTTTTAATTACCAAAAATAGGATTTTTAATTTAGCTTCTCCAAAGAGACTTTAAGATATTTCTACAAGTTTCATTCTTTTGATTTGAGAGAACTATAAGATTTTTTTTTTTCGTAAAATTCCTGTAAATTCCTAATATATAAATGTTTAAAAATAAAAATATATTTCATTATAATATATATATATATATATATTATTTTTTCTATTAATTTTTTTAAAAAATTTACATGTAAAAGTATGTTTCATTTTGTGAAAATTGACGTATTGCTATTTATAGATAGATAAATTGAAATTTAAAATTAGAATAGTCTTAAAAACTTAACAAAATGAAGCTAAAACATCGTATAGTAAAAATATTAAAATTCTTTGTTCTCCATAGTTATAATTATTTGTGTGTAAGTTGATAATTTAATCATCAAACAAGAACAAAACATATAGTTTAATATATATATATATATATATATATATATATATATATATATTTACCTATCAAAATAATCATATATGATAAAGTAATATAAAAAAATTTGACTCCAATCATGAATCCATAACTGTGTCAAGTTGCAAGTGAAACAAAAAGTAATATCATTCGTCCCATGCATACCATTACTCTAACTTTTTATATTTTATGAAAAAAATTTCTAATTTAGAAAAACTCATTCCATATGATTTTTTTAAATATTATAATGTAATTTTATGAAAAATTATTATTAATATGACGTCAATCTTTTGAAATGTAGAACCAAACAGGGAGTGTTGTTAGTAAAGATTTTGATGGTGGCATCATGAAATCTCTACTAGGGGTAGGGTAGGTTGTGTGTAGGACTTTAAATTTAAATTTGATTAAGAGTACATTGTGATAAGGATAATGGTGTGAGACAATTAGGTTAAAGTCGCCTAGGAAAAACATGTGATTAGAGTGGTCTTTCATGAGATTTATAGAGTCAAATTTTGATCATTGCTACATTATATGAAAGTAAAAAAGGATATATAATTATCAATGCGTTATGCCATTTTGAGAAATAGGGCCATGTTCGAAAAAAATTATAAATATTTTTAGAAAAGATAAATCATAATAGGTTTAAATTATTGAATAAACTAATTAATATTTAACTTTTGTTTTGTATACGTTAATAGATAACATTATTTCAATTGTTTCATATATTTTTCTAAAAGTATTAATGGAGAAAATTTTACTCAAACGTTCTCTCTCTCAAAAAAAAAAAAAAAAAAAAAATATATATATATATATATATATATATATATATATATATATATATATATATATATATATATATATATATATTGGTAAGATAGATACATATTAAAAAAAATAGGGGGAAGATTAAAAAAAAAATGTATATTTGATGAGTATTATTTGTACGTTTTAACCTTATCTTTTGTCAAAGAAATAAATTTAAAAGAAAAGCATTTCAACACAACAAAAACAAGGTTAGGTGATAAATTAATGATCCCACACTTTTCTTAAATATGTGCGTGTTTGGGTGTTGAAGTTGAAGCTTTTTGACTTTTTATTCTACATAAAGAATACATAAAATCACATGTGAATTTGTCAAAATTTCATAATCTAATAACTTAATAAGTATTAAATTCTATCATAGAATTTTTATTGGAAAAGATATAGACCAAGCAGAAAATGAACTTGCAAAACAGATAAATGCAAAATCTTCTCCTTGCATCAATTCCAAATTGAATATACTTTGGAAATGGGTTTATTCAAACGAAGACAAGTATTAAAAAAATTATTCAATTTCTTCTTCATTATTAGCTTTTTAGGTATAAGACTACTTATGTGACATCATGTATTCTGTAAATGGGTTGGTACTCTTCAATAAATTTCTTTGCCTTATTAAAGAGAAAAATACTAGTTAAACTAATGTTGTTAAAATGGCTAAAAGTTTAATTGGATTTAATATGATTTTAATTGAATTTAATAAAATAATTATTTTTATTCTATAATAATATAATAAATATATAATAATTTTATTAATAATAAAAGTTTTATATATAAAAAAGAAAAATAATTATAATAATATTAAAAGATTGTCATAATGATTGTAAATAATATAAAATTTATTAGATAATAAAATACTTATAATCGTATAAACAAGATAAAATATAGTAAAATAAATATTATTTAAAGTTAACATAATTCATAAGATAAAAAATTTAAAAATATTATTATTTTTATAAAAATATTAAAAAAATTTGATCTTTACAATTTTTTTTATTATCAAAACTAGTTGATTAAAAAATTTACTCAATTTTTTTAATTTTATTGGTTTTTGTATTGGTTTCTTCAATTTTATATCAATTCAACCATTATTTAAAATGACAAATCAATTTTCAAATCGATTACTGTTAGATCTCCTAAGTTAACAAGTTTAACCCAATTTTCAAATCGGTGAGTTAATGAA